AAACGTCTAAAGCCGAAGATGCACAAGAGAGTACTGAAGCCGTTGATTCGAGTATACAGTTATTGACCGAACTCGTGCAACATCCTGATTTTCGTCACATTTGTTCCTCTTAATGCTTCGCTTTTCCAGCCTCGTTCACGGGATTGAATATAATGTTGCCCCACATCAGACGCAACATATCTGATATAATATCCACTTATGTCTTTGCTTCTGTTAGCCACATGACATTAAAATGTACAATCTCGCGATTTCAACGATTTTTTGCTAATGCATCAGTTGCAAGATAACAAGGTCACAGCAGAAAAACGTAACCGTAATTTATTTATTAAAATGACTCATAGACTTTATACAGGTATTGCACTTTCACCACATCCATGTAGCATTTGCTCCTCTTCGTTTCTGTGCACTGGAGGCAGTCGCTTTGAGATGGAATCCACCAAGTTGACTGCCAAACATAATTTGCAAGTTTCCTCTAATACACCGCAATAAAATGTTCAGTTGCTTCCTGAAGCGAAATTCATAAAGAAAATTAATTTCGCTTTTTGCGGTGTAGTTGTACAGAACGGCTATCCGGACTAGTGTGCTTGTATAAGACAATGCAAGAACATGAGGAATGACTGAAAGAAACAGAAGTCGCCAGTAATCCCATTCATTTTATAAAGGGACCGAGTTAGAAGTAATGCAGTAAAGACTTTCCAGTACATAGAATAGAATGATCTACGCTGTAAACCAAAAGGATTGTTAAGAAATTCAAGCCAGTTTTGTTGTACATCGGTGCATGATTTTACTGTCTTGTTCCATAAATCCCCTTCACGAAGCGTGGCAACGTGGCAAATGTTAGACAAGCGAGAAATCGGAGTTGCACTCCATTCCCTTTATACCATTAGCAACTGTGCGTGAGCATCTCAACTACCTTGGGAAAATCATCTTCTTCGACATGGTTTAGAGGCTAATGACTGAATAGTACTTGTGGGATACGATGGTGATTTCTTGTCGTTTGGGAAAGTGGTTGTATTCGTAATGGCTATAGTAGTGGTGCTGATAGTGCAGTTGTTTTAAAAGTAGACCCACAATGTGCGCGTTGCTTTCTGGTTTACTGTTTTGTGTTTTATCTTTTGCTCTATCAGAGAATGAAAGATTTTATTGAAAAAGGAATAAATAATTATAAAATCGAGGTCAACCTGACTGGTGTGTACAAAAAGCAAATAGACCTGTTAATAAACCTGTGTATGTTGCATTCATAGAAGTGACTGTTGTCTATCATGGGTCAGGCTGGTTCGAGTAAACATATAACTGGACTGGTAAAGTCCCACATTTGAAATTCCACCAAAACGCCCAGTCTCACTTTTGAAAGAATGCATTGAGTTATCATTTTCTGTCTTCATGTATCATTTGTATCCCGAATCTAGCGCCTAGTATGCAAGGTCACTTCATTGTTTCGCAAACCTGGTGGAACAAAAATTCGATAATTTGATATTTGAGAGGACAGAAATCTAATCTTGATTTGTGTAAGTTTATAAGTGAATAGGTAATAACAGAAAATGTCAACAGTGCTGATCATGTTAAATGAACTTTGAAACGATGATCTCTGTGAGAATTATCAACTTCAAGTGCTCTGACTAACAGCTTTGTCACCTGTTTCATCTCAGGTTTCTCAAAGTAGGACGTAATAGATTAAAAAGCACCATCCTTTAACCTACAGCCCATACTTTTCCATACATGCATACCGCAGCACACTGTGCATCTGGTACTCGACTGCACTCTGCAACCAATGTTTGTCGTGGGTAGCTGACCAACATCATAGCGTCAAGTGTTAGTTCTACAATTGTCTATAGTTACCCAATTCCTACAGTGTGGGAGACGGGAGAAACTTTGCAGCTGCATTCAGCCTGCTATTCATTGGCTCTACAAATAAACATCCCGGGATCAAAAGATATTATAATCCCTTAAAAGTGAATGAACACTGACATGCCTCGGGCAAGCAGCAAGTTTCTTTTACGTCAAATGTGTGTGCACTTTGCTTAGGCAGGATAAACCAGAATTAAGTTTAGTAGATAACGACTTCATTGCCACCAAATGTGTGCTATTCTCACGCACTCAAATTGCAAAAGTTGTTTATTTAAACGGAACAGCTGATTTTCACGTCAATTAGACTGACCGGATGCACAGTTTACAGAATTAGATAAACAGCAACGTTCTATGTGATGCATATTCACAGTGCTGGTGGGTAGATCTAATTTTGATTGTTATTAGGTAAATCTACCAGTAGCTTGTGTTTTATCCTTTCGAATTTCATAATTTTAATGAACTTGATACTATTTTTATTGCTTGATTTTCCTACAATGGAACGGATTGCTGGCCTAATTTGTAGATCTATTTCTTCCTCCCCGTATTTCGCTGAGACCACGTGTTAACGACGTGGGTCAAAATAAGTTTGATGTATTTCTTGTGATTTTAACTAATAATTACGGGAATCAAAACACGAATTGTATATGAGGACAAATCAAATTGCCAACAGTAAGTTCTATCTTTGAATAATTGTTAACTAAAATAGAAAAAGCCATACAACATTGATCCATCGATCTTCTCATGACAGTGAAGAGTAGGACGAGGAATCATTTTGGAAAAAAACGAAGTTTTAAGCATTCTTCGGTGTGTTATTTGATTGCTTTAGAACCATGCAAAGATGTAACCCTTGCGTATTTCACAAATCGCATTGACTGATGGCGACAAATTTCATAATTTTCTCTCATTTCACTGGGCCCAATTGTTCCACTTCACATTTGATTAAAGTTATTTCAGTTCAAGGTGAAGAACCACTAACTATACATTTCTATTAGCAGGTTTTCGGTTGTACTCTTTCGGCTACACATTAAAGTTCAACAGAAGTAGGAAAAGAACCGTTGAGAGCAGTAGAAAGTTAACGAAGTATACTTTAGATGAACTATACTTGCGTCGAATTTGATAAGATGCATAAGCGATCTTATTGCTTGATTCTCTAATGTACCACGGACATTCGATAAAATTCCGGTATTTGATGATTTCGGACTCTTACTGACAACATCTTGAAGTTCAGGACAGAATGAATGGCAAGCTACTAGATGAGCACACCAGCACTGATGATTTTTTCATTAGGGTGATCGACCAAAGCTTTTTCTTATTTATCTTTCACCCGCGAGGGACAAGTCTCTGTATCACGCAATAAGACCTGATAGCTGTAAGCTACCTCCCAGTATACGTGCAGCTCGATTTTTTTCAAGTTGAAAAAGTAAAGTGACTCCTGTACATGTGGGCCATTTTTCAGGTCAAACTTTTTAACCAGATACAGCAAACGATTGATCAGTTTTGTATACTTTTCACTTTCAGTTTATTCCCATGATATTATTTTGATAAGAATAGTTTGTCTTTTGTTGCCTTGAGCAGTCTAACAGACCCTACTTCTCTGTTGAAATACGCATGCCCTGGAAAGTATATCCTCTGCTTTTCTCTATTTTCAATTTATTATGAACCGTGAGAAGTAATATTAGGTAACTGCTGCAAAATAAATCACCTTAGAAATGAAATGAGGTGTCATGTCGAGGTCAGGCGTGTAACTTGGTCGACAAACGTGCTACTTGGAGCATTTGAGCTCAACCAAAATGTCCTAAGATGCTGCAGAATAGTCTGACAAGCCCGTATTGTCATCGACCAGATTGTTTTCTATCTGTCAATTAGGAACCGGTCATGTGGAATAGAGCGCCTATCAATCAACAGAGAATTGCACAACGTAAACTGTTTGACAGAATGACATTTGGGACTGGTTGATTCATCGGACGCCACAAGAAGCACAAGTTTCGAGCTGTGAAAATTTATCGTAAAAATACAGCAGTATCTTATCATTAAACAGCGACTCCTACGTGATAGTTTGCATTTCTCTGAGTCTCACTGAAGTTTGCTCTAAAGGTGTGTTATCAACACAACGTTTCATTTACTTCATTCAATTTGATGCGTCCATGTCGGGATCTGAAACTGGAACTCATATATTTAGAAAAACGCCCCCAGTCCCGACTGCACAACGCGCTAACACTCATCTGCCCCGAATGAAGCGATGGATGAACTGCACGGCGAATGAGCGCATAAAAACTTCCGATTCGTGTTTACCATTTATTACGAATCCCACATTAATCACAAAAAACACTGTGAATGTTTAGATTAGTCCATTCGGTTTTTCACAGGCACCAGGCACTGTTGATGTTCGATGTGGGTTTCACTCCTTCGGAGATCGTTAATTACCCACCGTTTTTTGCCTGGTGCTTGTGAAAAACCGAATGGGCTAATCCAAACATTCATCATATAAATTGATTGAGCCATTTGCACAAGGTGATAACCATCGACCGTGTAGTCCAAAGGTAAGGGTATCAAATCTCAGCCCGAAGAATCGCGGTTCGAGTCCTGACAGGGACACAAAAAGTACGCACTGCTGACAACTCCCAAACAGGACGAAACAGCTCTCCAGTGCTCTATGTTGGTTATCACAAACATTTCCATCGTACAAAAAACACTGTTCTCACCCAAACTGATTTTACACGAACCCGACCAATAAACATATATGGTGATTACATGCCAATACCCTTCATTTACCCACTTTTGTCCTGAATGATCATCTGACCCAGTGTGAAAACCATTCTCCATCAGAATCACGCGTCCTACTATGATCTATCGGTACAGGCATTTTCGTGTATAACTATGGAATCACATGCTTTCCCTCCTACTTCTAATGTTCCGATCGGTAAGTAATAGGATTCGTTGAATGGCATGGCAAAACTTTTATTTATCAAACGGAATTGAGAAAATCAAAATACAATACGGAGAAAAGAAGAATTTGGTGAAAATGACTAAACAGAAATTATTGAGTATACTAAACGAAATGTAAAAGTGGTGGAAAAGTATGTTGCATAAAGTAATCAGAACCAAGATGTGTCCACTCCGGGGTTGCTGTTCACAGGTTATTTCTCCTTACACTACCAGCCCATTTCTTCCTGTGTGGGAACATAGTCAGTCCCGCTAATTGGTCTCGGAACATTCTGTGCAAAGCGACCAGTAACATTTCCACTCGGTTTATAGTAACCGGCGATAAAAATGTTACAGCCTCCATTTGTACTCTTCCGGCCGAAACCAGCGTGAGTGGTTGATTTCCAAACGATCTGTGAAAAATTACCTGGATGAAAGAGAAAAATGAAGAAATGAATGGGAATAAAAACCAATGGAATGGGACAAAAAACTTGCAGCCTATTCCATACCTTTATTTAAATATATTTAGCCTGCCGAAAACAACCGCATAGTTTAACGCAAGCACCGATGAGCACTTACGATTTCTTTTCAATGAGTCCTTCCATCAAGGAAATGTGGACTGAACTACAAGAATGCTCGGTTTAAATAGAATACACGCACACATAAATCTTAAGTGTTTTGCTGGATACTCACACCGTATTTCATTTGTTCTTACGTGCAATTAAGCTTACTTCACATTCAACTTTCCCACATGAACATGTCCATACCTGTGAGTATAGGTATTCATTTGCAAACGTTTGAGAATCTGCGTCCCAAAAACCATTTCATTTCTTTGTGTAAAGGCATTTGGATTGCATGTGTTTCAAGTCACTGTGATTTTTAAAATGTTGGATAGTCCAAGTTGGATATCGATCGACATGGTTCTGCGGTAAACGTTTATTTAAATTGAATTGCTACACTTTGTGAGACCGAAAGACAAATGAAACATTTTGCAATCATGAAAAGAGTGAACTGGGCACCCCAAGACTCTGCTTTATTCAGCAGTGTAGCATGTATATATATATACATATTTTATCTACTCACTTACCTCATTGAAACAGCTTTTTCGGAAAGTGTACTAAAATCATTCTGCATAAATTTATCTTTTCGCATAGACTTCTGGTGTTCTGAATCATGAAGAGACACAGACAGGTTCTCGGCTTGATCAATTGCAGCTGACAATATTTCCCATGACATCAAAGCATTCATTCAAATATACATAAGTATACTAGCTTTTGGAGATATATTCACGCATTGATGTATGAATGTATGGTTCACTTACTTACTTACTTACATCTATAGTTAATATTAAAGATTTTTCGATCGTTAATTCTGTGTCCTCTACAACGTGCTAAGGTACTACAGTTTCATATGAAATACTTCACTACTTTTCTCTTTGTATCATAGTCCCTTCCGCCCTCAGCACAGAAGAACACTTTGTGTTTCTTTCCCATTTTTAGTACACTACGCGTGGACCGAGGATTGTTGGGGTAAAAAGGAGTGATGAACACAGAACAATCCACTTACCAGACATGCTCTGCTGCTCTTCCCCGTAGTTAAACCGAACGACCTCGGAGTACCAACGCAGAGTAGCTTGTTGGCCTGAAATGCAATGCATGGATCGCATGATAGTATCAGATCATATTACGCATTTATTCAAATGAAATCAAATGTATACTTCATACCCGTTCCCGACTCCGAAAGTTGACTTAAACGTAGATAAACAAGCAAAGTACACTCAATTAGACAACCAAAACCACACCAAAAATGTATAAAGCAAAGAAAAAACAAAACAATTTATAAAAAGTGAGCTAATTTCAAAAGCAATGTGATCCGGTTTGCTAAGAAATCTGGCGAAATGAGGCATCACAGAAGATCAGTAGGTGATCGCGCCATCAAATATGCAATTATGGTTGGATCGAGTGGAAGTCGAGGATCCCCACTTAATGAGATATGAGTGCGACTAATGCCGACGATCGTGCTCAATGTTTTTGGATGACAAGTACTATGAGCTTTGCTATTATGAAATGACGAACTGCCACTTGACTTTTGCGGTCGGTGGATGATCTCGCCTCCCTGTGCTAGGTCCTTTATTAAATGTCCGATTTAGCTTCTCGGTATCTATTATTATGCGAAACAGCATAAGAGTTGGACAACTCGGTTGCACAGCACAGGTCAAAATGACATCCAAAATATAAAAGTCACCACACATAATGCCAAGGAATATCTACATAATTTAGAAAAATGGGGGAAGAAAATTCGTGGGCATATTAGAATCGTCAATAGAACAAGAAAAAGAAAAATGGTTATTGGTGTGTCAATCTTTTCACTGGTAGGTTGATATACTGATAAACAGTGTGTGTGATAACCTTTATGTATAATATAATAATAACGATAATAATCTATTATATATAAATTAAACTAACATCGGCTTGTATACAAGTAAATTGCCGACGCCACAATAATAATAACAACAATAACAATGGATAGATGGATTGAGGTACAGAACAAACTGGAAAGAAGATGGAACAGTTAACATTGAATTCGGCAGATAACTGGAATTACAATAATTGGTGTGTTTCACCGTACACTTTCCGCTGTGTTTGTGAACCGGAACTGGTCAGTTGCACAGGTAGATGGAAAACCTGTCGATTTTGATAACGTTGAAATTGTCTTCTTGCGACCAGTTTTCATAAAGCGTGATGACACTGGCTTACCACCTATTTGGCATATTTTCATTCCGCCATAGGACCAAGCAGGTATCAGACAATTCAGGTGTTTATTGGTGAAATGCAGATGCCTGAGAAAAATCGCTCGCATAAGGCCACCCACTATTCAGTTTGAAGTTTTCTAGGAAATCGTTTGATCTATCTTCGCACTATTTTTACAACCAATTTGCCAAATCTATTGTCCGGAATTCAGAAGTTGCTTCATCAGGGCAGCAGAGTATTGTACGAAATTAAGGGTGACCATTGACATAAGATGTTGTTAAAGAAAAAGAAGACCTTGTACAATGGATTTAGTCCAGTGAAGACTGGTCATGTAGCATGGAGTTCAATGATGTAACGGATAGCGCGACTGTATTCAAAAGCACCAACAATACAATAATATTGCATAGTTTATGCCAGGATGAATTTAGTAGTATCATCTCAAGTGTATGCTACAGACTACATACATATAGTGAAAATAAACGCCTATTTAACGGTAAATATTTTTCGCAGTTCACTTTCCTATCAAATCAAAACCATTGAGATGAAGAGTTTTGCCCGTTTGCACATATTAGGCGTCCATCGATGCACCGCTTCGGCAAACTGAGTTGGACGTAAATTGGAAGCACGGGGAACACAGTGGTTTGGTCGCCACCATAGGTAGTTTTCATCAGGGTAGTACTTCAGCCTGACCCACGGTTGTCGGCCCCACGTGAATGAATTAAATTCATTCAAGGTTTTAATATTTTGTTTTGCTTTTATTACACACGCTTCTATGATGTACAACAGACTGGGCGAATCCCATGGTCATGAAGACCTGCTGTCCAGTGATGGAAACCGGTAATCTAAACTCCGGCAGCTTGGAGGGGCGAACCACATTAGGCCCCGATAGGTGTGGCGCAGTATTCAACCGGACGGCAGCAAATCTACCTACCACCGAAGTTGGGTGGGGGTGACGGGGCTGGAACCTCAAACTACAGGGTCCAAAGCGAGCCGGTGACACCAACCAAACCGCTGCGCCACCACCACCTAATATGTTAATTTTTTCAAGAGCGGTTGCATTTATTGTCCCATCGGGTTTTCCCAAAAATAGATCCATTTATGGATCTTAAAGATATAGAAAATGTCACAAAGTTGCAATACTTCGCGTGTTGCTACGAGTAATGAAATTGAAGACATTTAATGTTTCATCCAGTTTGTGCTTAGAAGAATCAATTGTTGGCGCAGAAACAACGTGAGGTGGTCGAGAATAACCGAAGCGTCTTCAAGTCTGCTTCCGGTAAATAACTTGGTGTCATCCTCATCCATAATCTGTCCTGGTCTGCTCATGTTTTCAGCGGTTTTATAGTAGTTCGAAAGTTGTCTGTCTCAATCATAAAGGCTCAGGATATTGGCTATACCAAATAATCTTATTATAAAATTCGTTACTGTCTACATCCGTGCACACTGTTTACATCGCTCCCCAATATTCCTCTGGTCTGAAGGAAAAGTATTTCACTTTTTTTCTTGATCCCTTACGTTTCAATCCCTTTACATTGGATCTAGCGGACTTGTGTTGGTTGACTTTCTTAATCTCCAAGCATTTAGGACGCTTGTGATAACTTTATTGACAGGATAACACGCGATTAAGGGCATTGTCTGCACCGCAAAATCGTAAAAACCGAGTCAAATCCAAGAACTCCCTCCAAATATCAACTTCTTTCTGTGCGTACTTCCACATTTGGAAACACCTTAATTCTATAGCTGCTCGGCTATTGGTTAACGCGAAGACAACTGTCACCCATCTCAAGGAAAGACTTCTGTATAAATTATTTCCCCATTTACTCAAGTAACTAATTTGTTACATTGTTGTTTTGTTGATCGCAGTTTGTTTTATATATCCCCTGCATAGGTTCTTAGGTTGCTAAATATTCACAATTCGGGAGCATGAAGCTTTTCTTGTCTTGATTTGTGGTTGAATAAGTAAAGTACAAAACTGTTATCATCAGGTTTACGTGGCTGTAAGAGCACGCAGTCAGAGGCCCCGCATCATATTATTCAAGTACAAAACTAACAGAGAAAAATGAATCTGACTAACACGGTCTAGGAGACCTCAAGACGGTCAAATAGAACAAGTGAACAGATAGGATACTGTCTGAAAGGGTTAGGTGCGCATGCGCATGCACTAGCGGTCACAAATAGGCGTTGGCTTAGTCGAACAATCACTTGTCTAAATGAACCGGCATTTGTTCATGTACGAGGACCGAACAAAAACTTTCCGGATACACTGTACACCTAAGAAATGGAGACGACTTGGTAAATTAGTTGTGAGCAAGAATCTATTGTGAATGTTACTCAGTGATAGCAACTCAAAGACTCAAATATCAACAGTCTATCACAGTTCACTGGTCATTGGGATTGCTATACGCGAAATGTAGAGATGAATCTCAGTTAATGTCACTGGACAGCGATGGTTTTCTACGACTACAAAATGTGATTTAAAGCAGCAGCCGAGAGTTGATCGTTTACGAGCTGTCTTTGTCGATGATATGCCTTCAAGCAGCAGATTGTTGGAGTAGTTTGCACAATTCAAGCTTGGAAGGTGGTCTCTGGATTATAAAACACGGTGTGGTCGACATGTGAAGGCTAACAAAGAGGACAAAATCGCTGCTGTGCAAGCCATAGTGGAAGAGGATACGCAGGTGACAGTGATANGTTCGGGTGAATTGGTGGAGCATTGTGCTGCCCAAGTTTGATGACGGACGTTCCCATGCAGTTTGAGAGGTCATCAGGAGTGATAAGACCTAGGTGTACAGTTTTGACTCAGAGATCGAGCAAATATTGTTCCACTGGACGCTGGTTGATTGTGCGCCGACTCAGAAATTCGGACGGGAGTACAGTGTGACAATGCAGATGATAGCTAAAACCCGTCATGTGCCTAATGTATAGCTCGTACTGCCCCGGAGACTGATACGCTACCCAATGTCTGGCGAAATTGCTGAAAGCTGTTGTCAGGCTTCGTCCAAGGACTAGAGCACGAGGGACCTCGCCGCAACATGACAACCCACCTGCATCCAGGTCCCATGTCATCGGCAAGTTTCTGGATAAAGAATACATCCAGGATTTTGGTCTTCTGCCCCACAGTGTAAACCTGTCTCCGTGTGAGACTTTGTGTTTCCAAATGTCAAGCGCATGATATGTGGAATCCGATACGAATCGCTAGTAGCTGCACTGGCGGCCATAATTGAACTGGTCGGAGGGTTACCTTCGTTGACGTGGTCGAGCTGTTTCACCAAATCGTTTGAGCGCATGGAACTTTGTGTGAACGCTGGCGGAGAATACTTCGAGAAAATGTACCGCCTATTTTCGCGTAACAGATAAAACCAAGCGGATTTATTGAATGTTGAGTACGGAATAGGACAATCGACCCGATTGCCGACTGAACTCAGATACAGCATAGAGACGAACACGAATAAAAGAGTATAAAACCATACCGCTACAAGTGAACAAAGAAGCACAACTGAGTACGAAAAAGGGATCTCTAGTTTGGGATCACAACAAACTTCCTACGAATTGTAGTGAACAAGAATAAGTCATATTGCGCAAAATAGAACAGAAACCTCGGAACTGTCGTCAGATTTTATTCATGATTATAATGAAATCATGATTATGCAATGGAAAGATTGATATCTCCTAATAACAGATTCAGAATAACTTTTAAAATATCGTGATTCATTTGTTTGCAGTTAAAGAGTTTTCGACGTTTTGCGTTTGTTTTCATACAGCAATATCTGTTTTGCTCATCTCTCCATAGTCATCTAAACACTTTTGTACGAAAGTCCAGGTCAAACAACTCGCCTTCTACCATAAATTTGAAACTGTAGCTACGATAAATCTTTTCATTTGTTCGTGTGTAATTTGCAACGCGGATGAGAGTGAAGAACATTGAATTAGTTATCTATTGCTTTCTCACTTTTCCTGTTCGCGATTTTTTTAGTGTGTATTATTGGGTTCGTTTTTGTTTAATCCTAACAACTCATCCGTTAGTATCCGTTTCATCCGTTCGGTTTATTGGCTTTTTTTTAATTCCAATCATAGCAGACCCGGGAGACGTCTGCAGTTCCCGCCCGAGAGAGGCTTAGGCGTCATTCGTGCATCAGTCCTACACGTCTCAGGCTCCAGTTTGATCTTTTCACGATTGGACTATCTGAAAACGCTCAAATCCTGCTAAACAATGCAAATAGGAATTTTTCAATTCTTGTGAAAGCGACGATGAAATTTAAAAACGTCCTTATAGTACCCACTTTCCCATGGTTGACTTCTCATGAAAAATGACTCGGCGACATGAATACTGAACTGATGGTAGAGTGAGGATCAGCGCAGATGTAGATCAAATTTTGGTGCAGGTGATAGTGCATGAATTGGTGACTGAAAAATTCAGCAAATGCCCCAGAAGTACTATGCCAAATTTTTGACAATTTACTAGAGCAGACAGTGCAGACCCAAGAACCACAAGGCGCAATGCACTGATTTATGAGCATAGCAGCTAGATAAGATGAAGCACCACATGGAATGATTGAATGATTCGTTGATTCGATACCTATACCGCTTGGTACGACACTCAAAAGTGAGACATGAAACATTTTGTGAGAACTACATAAGCATGAAACGTAATTATATTCTTTCACTTAATGAGCAAATGCAAATGAGTTACCAAAGTTCTTTCTAAGGAAAATGAACCTGGAGCCACCTCGCAATCCATTCCAAAGATCCCTCTTACGGTCTGATAAGCTACGTGACGGTAGACTGCTTTCGTTCTAGCTGTAAGGTTTCGATACTCAGGTAAGTCCATGCATTCGCGCTGCTAGTGAGACCCGCCTGCCACAGCTGTTGAATGCTTCTTGTCAGTACACTCCTCATTTAATTTTTACGTCAAAATTCATCACCTAATTTCCCATTCCACTCAAACTTCAGCTGCCACAAAAGCAGCCGATTGAAATGTGTTGTGTCGCTAGAGCTTCAGTACCATCTTTTACTTATGTTATTTATAAAATAAATCATGCGAATGAATAAAAATGGATTGTTTAATCAAACCCTCACTTCCACCTACTCACTTACACCCAGAAAGGTATTCCTTTGATCATTTCCAATTTCGATGAAGTCACGTTAGATATTGTCGAATATTGAGAGCAATCGAATCAAAGCTTCCTGTCAAACGGAATTATGCCATTCATCTAACTAAAGTCTGAGTTGGAATCCGTAAGGGAATCAGAATAGAAAAAATGCTATTAGTCTGTGGCACACATCACACGTGCTCACCTGTGATTGTAGTCGGTTTGGTCCCGTCTCGCATCGATAGATTTTCCCCGTGGTTGGGCGAAAGACAGTGGTGCATCTGGTTCTTCACAGCCATCCTTTCAGCGTGTTCTTGGGCCTTCTGTGCTAACTCCCGATCCAATTCCAACGGCGGACAACCATGCAGTGCACGTAACCTGTGAGAATGAAATTTGGAACCAAGTACATTCTCAAGCCCAAAAAGTAGCGGGCGTTTTATTTTCTGGATTGGTCTGAGTTGGTCATAGAAATTAGTTTGCGAGCGCTTGATTATTTGTTACACTTTAAATTTACTGTTCAATAACTTACTTCTCTCCGGCTCCTAACTTTATATTTAAGCAATTTTGAATACGTCTGATAATGCACACAAAAAGCATGGAAGACAACTACAGTATAAATATATATGAGTGATATTTTCTATGTGCTCGATCGAGAAAATGACATCCCATATATACTGGCATTGTTTAACGGAACTCATCAATCACTGAAGTTCACCGTAGAGATGTGAACGAACAACATGCTGCCCTTTCTGGATGAAGCCGTGTCCCGACGAAGAGATGGATCAATAAGAAGAGGGATCCATTGAGAGAAAACATGAGATAGTCAAAGATCAAAGATCAAGGATTTGTTATGGGAATAACTCACAAGCTCATACTTTTCTGGTCCCATAGGTTCGTGTGAAGGTTAAAAGCAGTGATACATACGATTACTTGTGTAAAATGTCACGTGATACGTGCTTCATCCACTGCTGCATGGAGCTTCACTTATTCTGGAATGTAAAGTGTGCTAATGCTTCATCAAGTCTCAGTTTGAAGGATTCAATGCTTGGAGCACAGACGACGTAGAATGGGAGGGAGTTCCAGATCGAACACACTCTAACCGCAAATGACCGACGCCGGCATTCCAAGCGGCAGTTTGAGACCACCAATTTGAGTGGATGTCCTCTGATATGAACGTTGAGTGATAATTTCAGAAGCTGATGACACGGATGACTTGGGTTTTGCATTATTTGGTTTGCCATAATCACATCTCCTCTGATGCGCCAGCAGTGATTGGAATATGACCCCAGTTACTTCAATCTCTCTGTGTATAAACACCGATTCAACCCCTAACCATTTTGGTGGCCATCTTTTGTTGACACTCCAGCATTTTGCAGTCACGTTTAGCAATGGATTATATGCCTGGATAGCATACTCTGTGAGTGGGCGAATGTATGCTGATAGTAAACGGGGGAAAAACTCTGACTCTGACCGGCCAAAGATCCACTTAAGCAAACCGACATTTTTTACAGCTGCGTTGGATACCTTGGTGAAGTTGAGTGAGCAGCTTAAGTTTTCTTGAATGATGACCCTCAGGTCCTTCTCACTTGCGGTGTGCGGCAGTTGTTCATTTCCGAGGAAATACGAAAATAGTCCCGTGGTCGTAGAGATAGAACCTTACACTTTGGTGCATTAAACTCAATATCGTTCATAATGGACCACAGATGAGCTAGTTTCAGCGTTGCCTGGAGTGCCAGTGAACCCACTGGTTGCATTACCGTATTCCAAATTACACCAACATCCAAAGTTTTGTTCCTGTAAAATACAAATATAATCTAGTTCGATTTCTAGCTTTCACAGCCCAAAAGATTTGTTCAGTAGACACACCGGTTGAAGAACTAAGCTTCGCCCGCCAAACGCTGCAGTACAACAGCTCTCGAGGAAAGTTTACTAACAAGAATATTTGACTATCTCCGGAAAAGGAAAGCCCTGTCTGTTTCCCCCAAAAGAAACTATTTATAAGGATTCCGTTTAAGGGAACTCGCATACAGAAAGCCTAGTACAGTCACTGAGAGTGGCTGCAAATTCCACCTTCCCCGCAGCCAAACTTAGATTTCTCTACATCACCGGTGATGCGAATGCAAATGAAAGACAAACTGCTAAATCTGACCTCATCCATGATGATTTACCCTTTTAAGTGCGTCTGTAGCGCATGGTACATAGGTCCGACGGTAAGGTGTTTGTCTCAACGTGTTAATGAGCCCCGTCCTCGAAGTTAGGGGAAGGCCGGCTGTATCTCAAGTGCGATTGTGGGTCTTCTCGAAGACACCGGACATAATATCTAACCGAAGAAAGCTTCCGATGTTGTTTATCGAATCCCACTCAATCGATTGAAGGCGGCTCGAGCTTGGACGCTGGCCATAGCCAAGGCGATCGCCATTCACTTACTTTGCCCAGACTTGTGCCCCAAAACGACTGGTTTCAAGGGCTTCCATCACCTTGGTCCAGTGTAAACCAAAACAGAAAAGGACGTCTCCCTTGACCCAAAAGGCGAAAGGCCACATGAACTGATGCAGTAAACGCTCCTACACATAAACACGCGCAGACGCACATCCTATTCCCTCTGGCACCGATTGAAGACCTTTAATTGAACCAATGGCTGTCATTCTTTAAGCCTTTTTAAACCACATGATATGCAAGAGCATGATCCGCAATATCCGAAAACAAATGTTCGCTCACTGACCCGATTCCTCAATGAAAACTGTATACGTTGGTACATTTCATGTAAAATATTTTGCCGGTCCCCAAAATGAAAGAAATCTTAAATAATAGGAATATGATGCGGCGAACGTTGACAAAGCACCTTATTCCATCAACAAACAAATCATCTTCATTCTACAAGGTCTATTTTGGGATGTAACTAGCAAAACAATTTATGTCTAGATAGGTATCTTCCTATAGACATCAGTTGAAATTTACAGTTTTCCCGAGTGTGACAATCTGATCCGTCTTGGCAAGATATGTGTTTCAAGTTTGTGATCCTCACATGGTCGTTGAGGTGAGCAGTTCATAGAGACTGTATGCCTCGTTTCACGTACAAATAGAAACCACAGTGAGACAGTGAGACAGTTGAGACAATTGAGGCCCATGACACAAGAAATTAACCTGACAGAACCTGACAACTTTGAGTTGTTTTGTAATACTTATAAATGTTCTCCTTCTTTTGGTTTCCCTTACTTAGTAACAGTTGCATACAAGATCTGCTGAATGAAGTAGCCAGCCCTAGCAATGCTGCGTGACACAATGTAACATGAGGTTAGGATTGTGGGGTTCGGAAACGGCACGTCATACCGTCATTTCACACTCGATATTCAACAAAACCCGTTAAACTATGGTAAAAATATAATTAGAAGATAGCAGGTGTTTGGTTCTCAGGCATTTCACATCAAAGCTATCCCTACTGCACTTCAAGTGCAATGGGTTATGTTTCATGATTTGTTGTGGGACCACTTTAAGTAGCAACACAGGTTCACCTGAATTGGATAGAGCTATGGCCAATGACGGCAACTTATCTTTTTTTCTAAACCCGGAGTGTAAGCGATGTCGAGAACACATATCTGATCTTGACAGCGTTGAACTTAGTCCTCAGTTTCGCACAACCTCATTGAGTCACTGGATCTCGCCTGGGAGACACTAAATAAGGAATAATTTTTTTGCTACAATTAAATGTACCGCCTTGATTCATGCATACCAATGGTGATCTAAGTAGATCTTTTTAAGTACCCAAGCGAATCTTTTAAAAAAATATGTCTTCTCTCATTTTTGGGTTCAAATCTAGCTGATTTTGAATAGAAAAAATCCTACTTATCTGCTTCTGTAGCAAGTTGTACAAAACTATGCCACCTTATCAGCTATCAGGTAAATGTGCCCTCGCGCCTGTTTGTCATAATGCATCTCCACTGTGAAGGTTGCAGCTGGATATGTTGAAACTAGATGTTTGTTATGTTCCATTTTCTCTCGCGGTCAGAAAGGAAACAACCTCATCAACACTGCGGCTTTGACACTGAGAAATTAGGATTAGATAATCTGGCTACCCACGATATAATCAATGAGCTCTTTCAATAACGGAAGACATGGAGTGGTACTGAAAGCATTGATATAACCCAACACTCCGTGACAAGGCTAATCAGGGCACTACTCGTTACAAGTTTTGGTGGCCAATGAAAAGCCTCCGTTCTAAACCAATTAAAATCTACTTGGTTCGAAGAGAAATCACGTGTCCGGCAGAACATGAGCTGCGCTTGGCCAAGACTGTTTAATTCAGTGATAATCTTGTGTACATATTATTTATTTGCTTTGAATTACATTCCTTAACTAAGAACGATACTTCGGTTTGTGGAAGCTTCGGTAGCTGACTACCAGTGCGATTTCGATTGCATCTGAGATTGGTGATTCATTAAAAACTCAGATATAACAAGCATGCAGGAAATGATAGCAGGAACAAGCGTGAATCCGGTTCATTGCTAAGAAGCCTGTAAAATTGTACTTTGTGCTCAAATTTCAAAGAAAAAAATTACCAGGTCTGCTTAGTTATTCCGAATATAGTTAACTCTGTTTTGGCATCCTTTGGATGAATCGATACATTTCACTTGCTTAACAAATGAATGCATCAATGTTTTAGGCTTACACACTGGATCCGCATCTTTCCTATTTTGGCAGGTGGCTATATATATTCAGCATGCAAGGAAAGGTTTCATGAACGGCCAGGTAATGACAGTGCAAGTACTGGTTCATATGGGAATCTGCTACTTGCTTCGGCAAGCCGAATTATCCTATCCTTTCACTGTTACGTGGAATAGCCAACTGCATTCAAGGTACTTTGTTAAGACCTTCACATATACCAACTTGTAAAAACAGAGACCTTGGTTTATCGAGTTTGTTGGTTTCCAAATATTAAGGTTGCATTCCTGCACTCATTTATCCGTATTCACCCTGCTGGTTAATTCGTCCATCTGTAACAGTTTTAGTTCAGGTTTTGGAACCATTAACCAGGTATAACAGTACAGCAGTCTCACAACGTTAAACTCTGGCCAAACCTTGCTGCGTTTTGGTGATTAATTTATTGTAGTTTCGAAACCCTTAAACGACACACCCATCAGAATGAAACATGGGTGGTTCTTTCGTGGGATCGTCAACTCAACTGGTAGTTGCGCACTTTGAAGCGATATTTTGAATAAAACTTCCAGGGCATCTTATACTATCACTGCTGTCATTCTGTGAATGATAGAACCTTGTCCACAAAGCTGGACGGATGACCGTCTTATTTGAGTCTCATTCGAGTCCCGCCGGGACTCCTTGAATAACCACCGTCCCATTGGAGTCCCATTCGAGTCCGGCTCAGACTATTTTGGTAACCACCGTCCCATTGGAGTCCTATTTGAATCCCGTCGGGACTGTACATACCCAATTTTACGTAATACGAAATTTAAACCGAATAAATTACTGAAGTGATAATTTAATTACTAAAAAACATCAAAATTGTGTATTTTAATACCCGTTAAATCAGCTCGCAGTGTGTTTAAATGAACTAATTTCATCTGCGTACGTTCAGCAGCCCTCGCCATTATTCACCGTGTCAAATTTCAATTCCCGTGGTTATTCTAGGTGGTCAGGATGAAGATGCGTCAAATCAAATTTACCAACTACGTTTTCATCAGGCATTGAGCAAGAGACTGCAAATTGTGGAGATAGATCACTTGTAAATCATTCCGGTCAGTTTTATACGCAACAGTTATCATTTCCTGCGTTATTTATAATGGTCAACCAATTGGTTTCCCACGAAGAACCTTCAATGTCTATAAACGCTAGTAATTGTGAAGTCCAATTTGAGAAAGAGTCTGATGACTGTAAGTTCAATTTTTATTAGATATAAATTATTTTTGATACTGTCTTAGGTGCAGCTGAAATACATGTTAGTGAGCTACAATGTGGTCAGTCAGCGTGCTGTATTATCTAACTGTGTACCATTATGTAGATTGCACCATGAAAAAGAACTTTCCGAATGAAATTCACGTCAAAGTGCGTGACCGAATACAAAAATGTACTACGAAGGCCAGGGAAAATACACAGAAGAGAGAAAACCAGCCCGAAGATTTGTCTGAAGACCACTGAACGAAACCTGTACAGCCTTCTTGTCAAATACACATTTAAATGTGTCTTATGTATTTATTCTTCTATTAAAATCGGGGATTCGGATTGTAAACGTCATAAGTAGATTTCTTTATTCAACGATTAATATGATGCACGATGAGCTAACCTTGGTAGGAATTGCATTTAGGTATATCACGTAGTTGTTTTCGAATGTTGTTTATTCTTATTCGTAAGTGAGCATGCGCGAGCTGGGCGAAACGTAAGCAACGCTTGATAGAATGTAAGGAATTCCTTTCGGGAGCCGTCCTATAGAGTCCCATTTGAGTCCTTTCTGAGTCCCATCCGAGTCCCATCCAAGTCCAATGGGAGTTCCATTGAAGTCCCGTTTTAGGTGCAAACGGATTACGTTGGGACTCGGATAAGACGCGAATAGGATGGCTGTGTGGACTGGGAATATATCCCTTTTGATCCAGTGAGTGTTTGTACTCCGTAAAACTTCTTTCACTTCGTTGCGTCTCCCATAGATCATGATCATTAAGGGCAGCAGAACATGCAGAATCATTCGTTACCACATTTCTCTGTCCGACGGGAGGAACTATAATAAGTAGATAGGTTTTATAGACTGTCTCGCTACTTGCCTATGCCTTTGATTGTTTGGATAAATGTCTACAAGCATGTTGTTATAAGCTAATATTCAGTGATCATGCAATATAAAGTTCCGACAAGATCTGTCGAGTTGTAGATTATTAAACTATTTCCGACCACTAACAACATGAAATCACTGCCTAAACACCACACACTGGCAACAAACAGCGTAAATATTTGCCAAAAGTGAAACCAGTTTTCTGTCCAAACCCCACTTACACTACCACGACAACAAAACACCACCTGTATGAGTGCAGCGATGACATAGGACGACGATAACCATTTGTGCAGCCCATTTGCTTGTGCACTAGATAATTTGCGATTAACTCAAACCGTTTATTTCTCTATCTCACTCTGGCTCTACTTTTATCATAAACTGACCTGCCATTTTCGACTTCACCACATAGAGATAAAAAATAAATATTGGCTTGTAATTTGTGGTCTGGTTTCACGGCAATATCCTGGAAAAAGTAGTTCGCATAAATTTATTCACATCTGACCAGGAACAGCAATCATTCACACATTCGTGAAAACAAACTTCCGTTACCAAGCAGAAAATGAATACATGGGGTAATATTGATCGGTACATGAAAGGGCATACTTGTTATTTTGTGGTTATAAGCACCACTTAGGGGTTAAACGCTGAATAATCTAAGAGCAAGAGCAATCATTACACAAAGTACCAATACGCACCTGTTAT